GCTTCTCTCTTCTCCTTCTCCACCACCTTCTCCCTTCTCCCCTTCCGCCTTTCTCCACCAGCTTCTCCCTTCTCCTTCCTCCTTCTCACCAGCTTCTCCTTCTCCCTTCCTTATTCCGTAGCCATAATTGAGTCGGCATATTACGGCCGCCGTGCGTATAGCCATATTGAATCTTATCCACACGGCGCCGCCGTGCGTTAGCCTATTGGCGGTTTGGCATATTCAGGCCGCGTAAGGAGATAATTTGCCATATTTTGTCACCGTTGGTTTCGACCGTTATAACCAATCAGATGCTCAATCGCGGTGGAGAAGGAGGGCGAGAAGCTGGCTGGAGGAAGGAGGGGGGGAAGGGAGAAGGTGCCGTGGCCAGAAGCGGGGAAGGGCTGGTGGAGAAGAGTGGAGGGGTGAGAGCTGGTGGAGGACGGTGGCAGGGGAGATTGCCTTCTCCCTGGCACCACCTTCTCCCTTCTCCACCCACCTTCACCACCACCTTCATCCACACTTCCTCCTCCACCAGCTTCTGCCTTCTTCCCTTCTTCATTCTCCACAGTTTCTCCCCCTCCTTCTACCACCAGGTTCTCCACCACTTTTCGCCTCTCTCCTCTTCCTCCCCCTTCCTCCTTCTCCACCAGCTTCTCCCTCCTTCTCACTAGCTTCCCCCCTCCTCCACCACCTTCTCCCTTCTCCCCTCCTCTTCGACCTCCACCAGCTTCTCCCCTCTCATTTCTCACCACTTTCTCCCTGCCTCCCCTTCCTCCTTCCTCCACCAGCTTTCTTCCCCTCCTCCTTCTCCACCACCTTCTCCCTTCTCCCCTTCCTCCTCCTTCACCATCTTCTTCACAGCTGGAAGTGACGACACGAACACGCGATTACTCTGATTGTATATAACAACACAACAACCACTGTGATAGAAATATGCCAAAATCTATCTCCCGCGTGTACCGGCCTGAATATAGACAAACCCAGCCATATTGAGTCGGGCCACACGGCCGCCGTGCGCGTGATTTTTTTTCCTAGGTCAATCAAGAACATAGGGCTGTAATGAGCGCTGCTATTGGTTGAGCTTGTTTTCTTGCAATATACATAGCACATCTAAAACTATTATTCTCGATATGACTCGATAGCCTAGCGCGTACAGCACGGGCGTCAAGTATGAAAGGTCGGAAGATCGAATCCCATCATTCGTTTTCTAATTATTTTTCTGTTTTCTGTATTTTTCTATCTTTATCTGTTTAACATTTTTTTTCCAACTAACGCAAATATTTCCATGATTTATTTACAACATTTTAATAACAGCAATTAATTTTTACAACAATTAAAAATAATTTTTTTTATATATTTGTTTAAATAGGGTTTGGGTTAGAGTTAGGATTAGGGTTAGGGTTAGGGTCACAATGCAGTGAATGCACCATAAAACAGGAGTTTGAGGCACGTGATTTGTATCAACCAATGGCAGCGCTCGTTAGAGCCCTATGTTCTTGATTGACCTAGGAAAAAAAATCACGCCCGCCGCGTGTATAGCCATATTGAATCTTATCCACACCGCCGCCGTGCGTATAGTCACTTCCAAATCGTGACGTAAACAAACGTACGCGTTGTGAACACTGATCTCTATAATATAATCCATTATTCTATCTATTAGAGATTATATTATAGAGATCAGTGGTTGTGAAGCCTTTATTGAATAATTATTTGAGTGATAATTTTAGAGTGATAATTTATTGAATATGTAAAATTGTAAGTAAATATAACAGCAAGATACATATGAAGTATAAAAGCTTTTTACTTGAATACGGCTGTCACTTAGAATTAAAAAAGCTGGTTGCAGTGTTAGATGCTGCAAAACGTATGAATTAATCGAACAACTTCGAGATTTGATCAATTTTAACTCTCCGACTTTCAACAGAAAATACTTCATCGTATCCTTGCCACAAATAAATTTCTTGCCCTCATAAACATCAAAGACTCAGATAAATGTTCCTTTTGTGATTGCAACGTAGAAACAATGCTCCATCTGTTTGTATAATGTGAACATGTGTTTCGGATGTGGTTAGACCTGCAGCAATGGTTGACAAGATGTGGATATATACATATAGAACGACTTCAACCTGCTGATATCTTATTAGGCAAGCCTGAAGAAGATACAGCATTTAATTTCACTATACTGATTGCCAAATTTACTATTTATAGATGCAAATAAGCGGCGATTGAGGACCATCCTTTGCGCTGCGGTTAAAGCATATTCCTAAAAACATATGGACGGTAGAAAAATATATAGCCAATAACAAAACAAAACAGATTGGACAAGTCTTCTATGGCAAAATGGGCAAGTGTAATTTCACAATTTATAGCTAAAAGGGCCGTAACATAGAACATATAATATAACAGCATTATTTACCTGTGAAAGGACATTTACCAAGTGTTGGATAATGTACGACACATATATATTAATCCATCTCACATAAGCATTAAAGCAATAATTATGTTCGTATCATCTGTAATGTGATTACCATCACAATACTATCTGTTGTTGTGTACCATACTCTCTGTACATGTATGTATGTGTGTGCATTTTTGGAAATAAAGTACATTATAAAAATTTTTTTTTTTAACTCCGACACCGTCTTCGGTATGAAGATTACGAGGTTACAATGTTAGTAGCAAACCTGCAACGTTCACTGCACCAAGTGAGCCAGAGCACTTACTGCAATCATGAACACAACATATATCGGTATCACGTATCATTAACATATCTCACTATACCCACTTAATACCTCCTGACCAGATATGTTATTGATACCATTAATCGATGCCATATGTTTTATCCTGAACATAATTGTACTGATGTTAATATAGCTATAGCGGACTATACTACTGTTCATTATGTAGCGCTACCTACCAAATAACAGGTCCTATGACGCAGGCCACCAAAACCAGCAAATATTAAATTTTGTAATCATTTTAGCGATCTTGAACAATAACCATCTATTTCAACAATATTTACAATTTGACAATAACATACATACAATTGAGAGCTTTATTAAAAAACACAGTAATTTAATCATAATTTATAAATTCACAGCCCTACTTACACGTTGCCATGAGATAAAATGTTACCAAATATATATAACATCGTTCATACATACCATAGCCTATAAGTAATTTATCAAAAAGATAATACAAAGAAGCTGTCTATACGAACAAGTGCCGCAGAGCGACAGCGCTCACCTGACGGCAGGTGTTCTGTAGAGTCCCTATATACAGAGAGTTGCGCCAACTCAGGATTTGACTCATGTTGTTTCCAAATGTATCTCCACACCGCGGGTGCCGCTTAGAGTACAGCGCTGTATGGATACGGCTGTACAATTGGTTCCGTAGTAATTAATTAGATAATCAGTGCTTCATAAATTTACAGAGTTTATAGTAAGACATGTGTCTATTGTGTATCTAGATTTCTAGAAATGTAACTTCAAAACGTCGCACGCATAATGCATTATGTTTAATTGTACACTTATTCTTACCGCCATAGCCTGTGCGTATCTATTTGGAAACACATGTCGTCCAGCGACCACGTGACGAGAGTTTTTTCGACTCGTCGTGGCGCAACTCTCTGTATATAAGGACTCTAGTGTTCTGATGCTAAACTCACTGGCAACGAATGAAGAGCACCCTCCCATCACCGCATTCGCGCTCAGAGCATATATCTAGGATACTACTAATGACAGATCTAAAATCTATGACAGTAGGCCTTTGCCTATACCGGTTAGTACAGTAATAAAGATACAGCTTGTGAACTTTAATGACTTCGCTATATTAAATAATGTTATCATGGATATGCGTCTGGGAGCGCGCGAGCGTAGGGTGGTGGGGGTGGGAGAGTGGGGGGAGGGTGCGGGTTAGAGGGGGCTTCATAGCAAAAGCAGTTGCCGTGAGATGGCGCGTGTAAGTGTCATCATTCAAATAATCAAAGATGCATCACCCTCTATGCGTAATAACCTCACTCCATTGAGTAGCTGAAATCCAAGTATATTCAGGCAGGCCGAGAATTTCGCCTCAGCTGTGAGTTAACACATCTGCATTGCAGGTTGCCAGGCAATTAATTATGATTAGAATAGTGCCAGTTCACCCCCATGCATGCGTAATGGGCTGCCCCCATGTTTTTGCCTACACACACGAGCATTCAGGATCACTACAGTGTGCTATTACAGGGTGCTAATACAGACTGCTTTAGAAATAATATGATTTAAGGAGCGCAAAACCTTGTTCAACAAACATTTGCCTTTGCAATGAACTGTGCAACTGTAGCCTCACATCCACAAAGCAAAAGCAGTTCAGTCCTTGTTAACCAGTCAACAAATCATGTTTAACCTCCCTCTTGAGGTCAAAGGTTATCCGACACTTACTCTTCGCATGTTAGCCAGAAAGTACATTTCATGGTCCTTTCAATAAAGGCATTTAAAATGCTAGGTCACCGCTGAAACAAAAGTTTTTCAATCGCTCCGTCAGACCATGTCCTCAGAAAATGTCTAAACTCTGCCCTGTGCCCCATTGACCTTTGACCTCAATTTCAGCACAGTGATGGCTTTTCCTACATGATGCTATACACCGTACTATCACGAGCCGTTTAGATTTGTGTCCGCAATTCTGCATTTCCTCCCTATACCTTAAGTTAAGGAGGGAATGTTCCAACATTCTTTACACCTCTTGACCTTGACCTTTGACCCCAGCTTCGACATCCCCAACTTCGTTTTGACCTGACCCCCCCAACGTCACCAACTATGGCGTGACCGCTACATCGAGGCGCGGATTAAGATTTGTGCCCCAACTGTTGGAGCGGGGACGCACGACGGACGGACGGACGGACGGACGAACGATCATGCGATTCTACAAGCTGCATCTGACTATGTCAGATGAGCTAAAAAGGGTAATAGCAAATTCTCTACAGAAGATAACAATCCCTCCACACAGGGGCTATTTATATATAATTTAATGTTGCAGAATTCACTACACGCATTCACTGAAAGCTATACTGACTCGCAGTCAGTCGTAAGACTCGAGAAATTAGCACATGCTGTGTATCTTACTGAGGGTTTGTTTCTCCCGTAGATGGCGCCGCTGTAGCTCCTCTATCTTTGCGAGCTCGATGTTGACGCGTTTATCACCGTGAGATGAAACCGTTGGCAGCTGATCGCATCGCTTCAACTCCGGCGTGCCGCTCAGAACATCTCCTTCTCTCCGACGATGTTTCACTGCTGCAAGAAAGGATCTAGATGAATGAATGGGGGTATTAAACAATAAAGGTAATCCATGTTGTGAATATACTGATATCAAATTGCACATTGCAATGATGAAACAGGCAGCTAGATGTGTTAAGCTGGGTTTACACTACCGACTTTGTGTTGGCGAATTGGTGAATTGGACCAACTTTCCAACTATACAACTGACAATCGGTACTGTAAACGCAAAAGTTGCGCGACCAACCGATCGATAGCAACTAGTTGGGAGATTAGAACATGTTCTATTTTCGCCAACTCGGAGTTGCCGAATTGCAAAATTGGTTCAACTCGCCAATTCGCTAACATAAAGTCGGTAGTGTAAACCCAGCTTTAGTTATATAGAGAGTCAACGTGTGCACATACGCATGCATGCACACACATGAATGCATACATAAACGTGCACGGACGCACGCATATAGAGTTTCAACTTAAACGTGTAAAGCCTTGACACGTGGCTACCCTGTTCGAGTTGCTGCTTCCAACGTTTTCTCACGTTTGGCTTGTTGATCCTGCGTTGCCACGGCGACTGAGGAAGCCCTTCGCACTCTTCTTCCTCCTCCCCGTCGCGAGCCTTCCCTCGGTGGACCTCCCCCGGCGACCTGCTGGGGCGGGGCAGGCTTCCGTACCTGTCTCGCATACTCCAGAGCCTGTGATAACCAACATCGACAGATGTATTCACACGACGCAATACCAAACCTCACTGGCATCATGTTGACAAACAGCGCTGAAGATACAAAACCACAATAATGTCTGAGAAATTAATATATCATGGGAGTTGCCTGGTAATATCTTACCCACCCACAGGCTACGATTTTCATGCAGGCAGGCTCAAGCAGCGAGCGACTTAATTAACTGTGAACAACCACAGCATTAACCCCACCACTTATGGATTTTGGCAATATTTGGCATTGGCAGCCCACTGAGTAAATCAATACTCGGCTGGTTGCTGAGAGCGCAACAATACACAATCTCTATACATAGCACTGCTCATTGTAGTACAACACAGCACACCGACTGATAATGGGATAAGGTGAATGGTGAAACTCACCATGTGCGCATAACATAACTACCTACTCGTAAGTAGAGTGCACCAGACTTTTGTGCAGTAAGGTAGTACAGTTAGTAGGTACTTTGGTTAGCTACTGAGTCTGTAGCCAACCGGGACTCTCTGTAGCTACTACGGACTCTGCCTCATATACCATGAATTCTTGTACACGTTGTCAGTTGCCAGGACGTCTATAGAATTGCCAGAAGCTCTACGTAAGCTGACCTACCATGTTTCTCCTCCTCACTGCCTCCGGGTCGACCATCTCGGCTGGGGGAGGGTGTCTGGGTGGGTGGGGCTTGAGCGGGGAAGCCATGTTCTGCTGCTGCACCCTCCTGCCAAACTCCTTCACCTGCTGCAGCTTGCTCCACTGTGCACATAGGTAATTATATGACAACACTGCACACAGGTAATTATATGACAACACTGCACACAGGTAATTATATGACAACACTGCACACAGGTAATTATATGATGACATACACTGCACACCAGGCAATTGTAGAAACAAACTGGGCCATAATAAACAATTAAAGGAGACACTGAATGGCGACATAGCTGATACACAGCCTATCAGTATATAATATATATGACGCATTGAATCAAAATAATGGGTTTATCACAGACTTAATTACCTGTATTGTTAGCACTCTGAAATTAGTTAAAGCCGCTTTTTGATTTGTTAGTAGTGTCGATTTTCAGAAGAGAAATTTTCTTATGGTTAATATATTCTCAGCTGATACACGAAAATTGAAAGTCGGCAGCGAGTATCCTCAGAGTCGTGTGAATATCAGACCCTGTGCGCTGCAGGGCCTACATGGACAGGTCCCACACGCACAGTTGATGGAACGATGTGTCACGTTAGAGATGTGAAAATGTCGTGGGCGAGATCAGAGTTAGTTGACGTTACATCTGCACGGATTCACACCACGGACGGTGGCGACGTCGTCGGTTAACCTTCTGCCGTGTCCAACGACCGGTCGCCACCGACCGCCCTCAGCCTCACGCCGTGGTTAAATGGTGTGGAAGTCTGCGTCAGCGCGGTGTAAGGCATGTAAGTCAGGTTTGTGTTTCGCTGCGCAGCTGTACTCCTGCACGTAGTTGGATGTTCGCTGTGGAAGATTGACACGACAACATAAAACACTACAAAGAAGACGGTTAACACGTCCGCCAGCTCGTCGATGTTTGTAAATAAACAATATATATCCTCGACCATACTTTCAGAGAAAGCGCTATGACGTGTGTAATGTTTGTAAAGGCAAAAGCACGTTCATCTTAAATAACATCGGGCAAAAAATTACTTCGGGGAAAATGTGTTATTTATCAGGGCCCGCCAACTATCGTACTTGATTCTGTGTGTTGATCGTGCTGCGCAGTGCTGCTGGGGGAGCCGTATACGAGCCTCTACTTGACCTCCAATTCAATCTCGAGTGCACAATTAATTATTCAGCGCTGCAATCTGCGCTGTTGTAGCCGCGATCATCGCTGTCCACGTAGGCTATGGACGGCTGAGTGGATAACGGTCGATTAGGAATCCCATAAACTCTGATATCATCGCCGTGCCATCCCTAGAGCTGTTACAGCGGAAGGCGAATATCATCGCTGGCCTGGTGACTTTGTAAACGAGGGATACTTGGACTCACACTCTGAGAGTAAAGTGTGTTACAGCATGAGGCTATTGTTAGAGTGTTGCCGTATCTAGTGAAGAACTACTATTTTCTACTCTCTGATTTTACCTCTAGTGTGTTTAATGTTCGGGTGTTCTTATAAAGT